ATCATCTCCCTTGCGCATCAGTAACAGCCTTGATTATCCTGTTCATCAGAGCATTCATTTATCTTTTCTGTATTATATAATTCATATCTGTTCAGGCGCAAATCCCTTTTTTCAGGGGCGGGGGGTCCACCCACAAGGACTTGTTTCTGTAATAAATTATTGACCCATAGTGTAATAACACAGACCAATATCTTATATAGCTTATATACGTATATAGACTTGCAAACGTCTTTTGCTTTCTTTGTAACTTTTTAAAAAAGATTCATTTCCAAAATATTTTTACCACATGACAGAGCAACGTGTCAGATAAAATATTCACGTAAAAATAGGAGTGTTCAATGTGAAAATCCCTGGTTATTAATAATCTACTGACGACATGACCTCCGAATAGCTTTCGCTTGGCTTAAAAAGTGTAAACAAACGAAATGACCTCTAATTTAAATACATATTTCTATGCATAATTTATGCTTGACATTGGCGTCGGAAGCAAATTGAAAGTGGAGGGGGTGGGTGGCTAAATGTAAAAAAAAAAAATTATACTATCAAAAAAAAAACAAAAAAAAAACAACAGACAAGCAAATTTCCTTCATGTGCTACAAAAATAATGATGACGTAGAAAAACTTCCGCGCCATCTAGCGTTAATTCAGGAAATGTATGTTATTTGCACGCCATCTAGCGACAATTAAGTGAATAATCGTTGGTTTTGCATTGGTGATCGTTGGTTTCGCATCGGAGTCTGTTGATTTTGCAAACGAGTCTGTTGATTTTGTTTTTAAGGTTGTCTGTTTTGGATTTTCATTATGTTTATAAATTAGTTGTTAGTTTTGCATAAACGTCTTTTTTGCCCTTTCCGCCCCATACTAATACATTTTGTTTTTTTAAATACTAGCTATTTGTTGTAGCGATTTTTATGCCCCGTAATCGAAGATTCGGGGGAATAGTTTTTGCCGTGTCCGTCCGTCTGTCTGCCAAAACTCTAACTGTGTCCATAACTTTTGAGCGGATGGGGCTATGGCTTTCATATTTCACAGATGCATTCCTTGCGACAAGGCCTTTCTTTGGTTACCACCAAATTTAACCTCACTTTGACCTTGGATTTTGACGCACTTTTGCACAAAAATACCAAATTTTTACTTTGGCCATATCTTGAATGGTTAGTGCTAGGACTTACATACTTCACATATGTATTTGTTATGACAAGACCTTTCACTGGATACCAACAACTTTGACCTTGACGTTTGACCCACTTTTAAAAACTTTGGTAATAATTTTTGAATGATAAGGACTAGGGCTTTCATACTCCACATATGTAGTCCTTGTAACAAGACCTTTCATTGGATACCAACAATTTTGACCCCTTGACCTTGGTGTTTGACCTACTTAAAAAAAAACCTTGACAATAACATTTAAATAATTAGAATTACGACTTTCATACTTCACATACCGAATGTATTCTTTATGACAAAACCTTTCATTGAATATCAACAATCCCCGTGGGGATCCGGGTTAGAATAGGTCCTCAGTATCCCCTTGCTTGTCGTGAAAGGCGACTAAATGGGGCGGTCCATCGGATGAGACCGTATAAACCGAGGCCCCGTGTCACAGCAGGTGTGGCACGATAAAGATACCTCCCTGCTCAATGGCCCTGAGTGCCGAGCATAGGCCTGAATTTGCAGCCCTTCACCGGCTATGGTGACGTCTCCATGCATATCAGTGAAATATTCTGGAGAGGGACGTTAAACAGTATACATACAATACAATACCAACAACTTTGACCCTTTTGACCTTGGAGATTGACATACTTTAAAAAAAACTTAAACATTGGTCATAACTTTTGAATGGCTATCTAGAGCTTTCATACTTCACATATATGTAATCCCTGTGGCAAGACATTTCATTTAATACCAACAACCTTGAACCCTTGACCCTGACCTCCTTTTTAGCTCACCTGAGCCGAAGGCTCAAGTGAGCTTTTCTGATCACATTTTGTCCGTCGTCCGTCCGTCTGTCTGTCCGTCTGTCTGTCCGTCTGTAAACTTTTCACATTTTCGACTTCTTCTCAAGAACCACTGGGCCAATTTTGACCAAACTTGGTACAAAGCATCCTTGGGTGAAGGGAAATTTAAATTGTTAAAATGAAGGGACTTATCCCCTCGCAAGGGGAGATAATCAAGAAAAGGCAAAAATAGGGTTTGGTCATTAAAAAATCTTCTTCTCAAGAACCACTGGGCCAGTAAAGCTGAATCTTATGTGGAAGCATCTTGGGGTAGTGTAGATTCTAAATTGTTCAAATCATGACACCCCGGGGAAGGGCGGGGCCACAATGGGGAATCAAAGTTTTATATAGAAATATATAGGAAACATCTTTGAAAATCTTCTTCTCAAGAACCACTGGGCCAGAAAAGCTGAAACTTATGTGGAAGCATCCTGGTATAGTGTAGATTCTAAATGTTCACATCATGACCCCCGGGGGAAGGGCGAGGCCACAATGGGGAATCAAAGTTTTACATAGAAATATATAGGAAAAATCTTTGAAAATCTTCTTCTCAAGAACCACTTGGCCAGAAAAGCTGAAACTTATGTGGAAGCATCCTGGTATAATGTAGATTCTAAATTGTTCAAATAATGACCCCCGGGTGAAGGGCTGCGCCACAATGGGGAATCAAAGTTTTATATAGAAATATATAGGAAACATCTTTGAAAATCTTCTTCTCAAGAACCTCTGGGCCAGAAAAGCTGAAACTTATGTGGAAGCATCCTGGTATAATGTAGATTCTAAATTGTTCTAATAATGACCCCCGGGGGAAGGGTGGGGCCACAATGGGGTATCAAAGTTTTACATAGAAATATATAGGAAAAATCTTTGAAAATCTTCTCAAGAACCACTTGGCCAGAAAAGCTGAAACTTATGTGGAAGCATCCTGGTATAATGTAGATTGTAAATTGTTCAAATAATGACCCCCGGGGGAAGGGCGGGGCCACAATGGGGAATCAAAGTTTTAGATAGAAATATATAGGAAAAATCTTTGAAAATCTTCTTCTCAAAAACCACTGGGCATGAAAAAGTGAAGCTTATGTGGAAGCATTCTGGAGTAATGTAAATTCTAAATTGTAGGAATCATGACCCCCGGGGGAAGGGCGGGGCCATTATAGGGAATCAAAGTTTTACACAGAAATATATAGGAAAAATCTTTGAAAATCTTCTTCTCAGGAACCACTGGGCCAAAAAAGCTGAAACATATGTGCCCATGGAAGGATCATGGGGTAGTGTAGATTTCAAAATGTCTAAATTATGATCAGTGGGGTAGGCTGGGGATGCATTATGTATAACAAGGGGGAAATCTGGTAAAGAACAGAATGGTCAACGCTTCTCAGGTGAGCGATGTGGCCCATGGGCCTCTTGTTAAAATTATAACCTTGGACATAACTTGTGAATGGTTAGGGCTAGGGTTTTCATTCTTCACATATGTAATCCCCGTGACAAGACTTTTCATTCACTGCACACCAACAATTTTGACCCTTTGACCTTGAAGTTTGACCTACTTTAAAAAAACTTGATCCTTGGTCATAACTTTGAACAGTTGGTGCAAAGGCCTTCACGTTTTACAATTTCATATATAATTTTTGTGAGAAGGCCTTACTTTGGGTACCAGCATATTTGATTTGCATTTGAGAAAGGTTAACCTTCGCTTTGTTGTCATACGGGGGCATCAGTGTTTAACAAACACATATTGTTTTCTCTCAAATACATTGTACAGTGTATTTATATTTGATGTCCTTATTAAGGTAAGACTTGTGTTTTTTTCTGAAGGGTTGTATACTAGTGACTCCTGGTCAACAAATTCATTATACGAGTCGGCAATCGACGAACCTATTAGCACATCAACCCGTAAATCATCTCCGACCAGTGATGGGAGCACTTCCGTTACATCATCTACAAGTAAATTATTTCCTGTCAGTGCTATGCGTTGTTCCGGTACATCATCAGCAAGTAAATTATTTCCTGTCGGTGATGGGCGCACTTCCGGTACATCATCTACCCGTAAATCGTCTCCGGGCAGTGATGGGCGCGCTTCGGGTAATTTATCCACCCAGTCTTCACAACACCTAATAAACAATGACGCCATGATGAGAAAAAAATCTCTGCCAAATGAACCCCATGACTATTTCGACAAGATGCAGAATGAAACACTTGATCAAAGGATGCACTTTGCAGAAATTGGTTCTTACTACAAAAAATGTTACGATCATGGCCAAATTTGTGATGTCCGGTTCTGTTTGGACGATGACGTTCTATATGCCCATCGAGGTGCCTTGTGTTCTGCGAGTCCCTACTTCGAGTCAATTTTTATTGAAAATAGTAATATCAGATCTAAAGCAATGGCAGACATCCGACTTCGAGGATTATCAGTACAGTCATTAAAATCATTTTTAAATTTTGTTTATACTGGACAATTAGAAATAACCTCAGCAACTATTCTGGACTTGATAAAAATATCCATGCAGTTTCAAATGACAAATATCAGAGAGAGCTGCCTCAGACAGTTACAAACCCTCCCACACAATGACCTAGTAATGTTGTTGGTGGCAGTGAGGAGGGATACCGTGCATGATTTCATTACGCCCATACTACGATGTATTTCTGAGAGGTTTCTGGACATCTCTGAGTGCAAATCGTTCCTGGAACTAGACGTTGGAACCTTATGCGTTATTCTAACTTACGATGAATTGGTTACTTCATCTGAAATGGACGTTTTTTATGCCGGCTTAAAGTGGATTAATGCATGTCCAGATGAGCGTGAGCAGTACCTTGAAACAGTTATGAAATGTGTCCGGTTCCCTTTGATGCCTCAACAAGACTTAGTTCAGTGCATAGACAGATGCAGTCTTCTGGCAGCGAATGAAAGTTGCCTCAACATGATATACAAGGCTAACTGGTAAATATTCCTGTCATTTTCTTTCGTATAATCTTTAGTTGTCCCCATACTTAATATTCATTTGGTGCCCGTAATTTTAGTTTATACCAAACCTTTTAAATCGATCATATCACTTTATTTTTTTTAAAGGATAAGAACTGTGATGGAACTTAATAGACAAGATCCTTTAAACCTGAATATACCAGATGCAAGGTACCTTACTTCGCAAGAAAATTCCAACAACAACACTAACCATTTCAATGTGAGTACTTTTGTTTCATGTACGACTACATGTGTAATAGCCAAAGACGATGTAAAAATGTTGAAGATACGTTAATTTTTGCTTAAAACAATTCTATTGCACTTCTGGTTTTCCTTGATTGTAGAATAACGCCACTCCAGTGGACGTGATGGACATCTCATTCGGAAGTATCGAAAGTTACAATAATGACTCCAGGTACTCGGAGAGTTTTACCGGAAGTAGAGGATCGTTTGGGCAACCCTCTCCATCTCAAGGAATGGGTAAGCCAATTTTAATCTATGGTGTACTTTTTTCCTAGCTTTGGGGGTCCCTATCATATATTAAATTAAATCAAACTATTCATAGGGATTTAAATGCAAATATTTCCATTTCTAATTTTTTTTCTCTGTGCTAACTCTTTGTAAGTTAGCGGATTGATATCTTGATAATTCTACTGGAATGTAAATTAGGCAGGTCGATAGGTCAGAAGCTAAGGAGGCCTAATATACATGCAAATCTCATGCGTATTTTTGTCCCTATGTCTGACGCTAAGGAGGCCAAATATGAATGTAAATCTCGTGCGGCTGCCTTTGTGTTTGACGTCAGTAGACGAGGACTATTGAAATTGGCATGAGAGTCCTCGTGTAATTTAAATCTATGTCTACACTTTTAAAATCTAAATCTACAATTTACAATGTAATGGAAATATAAGGAATCACTGTTTAGTTAGTATAGTATGCCAGGGACATCAATGATAGTGGGAAACATGGGAAAATTTATGCATAAAGGGCTTCGTCCGCCCCGTGATGCAAATTATCCCATGTTTCCCACTATCGTTGATACCCTGGCATACTATACTAACTAGACAGTGATTCCTACAATAAATTGTTTAAATTGGCAGTTCTATTTCTTTTCTAGGTTTAGATGGGGATTTTATTAAGGAGCACAACACTTACCAAATACCCAAACCAGACCTGAATGAATACTCGTCCATGACTGTATTGGGCAAGAAGTTATACGTGATAGGTAAACAAAAACTAAACAATTTTAAAATGCTTTTATTTAAGAAATTAAGTCCGCGTTTTAGTGAATGTTGCAGAATAACCTCCGAGGTCGAGAAATGTTGTTTGAAAGATAAAAGCCGACGCGTTAGCCGAGGCTTTTATATTTCAAACAAACATTTCGAGACCGAGGAGGTTATTCTGAAACATTCACGAAAATGCAGACTTTATTTCTTTTCTGCTACATGTTGTTAGCAGCTCTAAAATACGACTGATCGTTTCGCTATAGAGAAACGAATTAGCTAGGTAACTATGCTGTGATAACGATGTTCAATTTAGCACCAGAGTGTAAATTTGTTTGTTACCTGTGAATAGAATGCAGACAATTTGAGCTTTCGCTGCATTAAAATTAGCCTTTCATTGTTTGTAGCTTAAAAAGATTAATCTTTTTGAATATACAATAACAAAATCAGTTTCCTTTTTACCACTTAATTATTACCAAGATCATGGAGTTTAAATATGGCGGAGGGAGGTTCGGAAAACAGCCCCGCTTGGCCTAAGAAACCTACATTCATCAGCTACTTTCTGCAATATACATGTACAGTGTTTAAATTGCAAAAGACGACACATCAATGTGGTTTAAATACGTATTTCATACATAAGTCAAATGTACATTTCAACTGCACAGGTTTTAAACGTGTTTCTGATCTGATAATTTTTTGATGACGTTCGTGATTTATTGGAGAATAATGTCTGCGGCTTTCCTTTGAAGTAGCCAATAATCGTAGAATATCGAGTCATCATAGAGTTTTTATAAAAAGTGTCTTGCTTTTCAGGAGGATTGCGCTATAATGATGACAATCCACTTCCCCGGAGAGACGTTTGGGTTTACTATCCAGAGCGTGGCTGGCGGAAACTAACGTCACTGAGAACTGCCCGGATGCACCACGCACTGTGTGTTTTTGATGGTTGCATTTACGCCATCGGTGGTCTTGGAAGAAACGGCAGGTAGATCTTTTACTGTACATAATTGACTGTTGCTTGTTGTGAACTTTAAGGACCAAACTAGACTTGTATTTTTCTGGGTCTACCAGCATAATAATGTTTTCCTTCAAATTAACCAAATACATTCCATATTATGATATGGCATATATATATGTTTTAAATCTTTCATGTCTGATTTTATTTTTGAAATTTTTCCTAGAATCCTGAAGTCAGTGGAGTGTTACAACCCATCCACAAACAGCTGGCACTTCGTCAAATCGCTGTCGACACCACGTGCTGGAGCTTGTGCCTCAGAGCTGAATGGAAAAATATTTGTTGCTGGGGGCTTTGGGTACTCCCCGAATGGAAATTCTACAATCCTTGACGATGTTGAATGTTACCATCCATGTACTGACAGGTACGTATGTGGACATGGTCAACTGAACTGTTTCTTTGCAGACCTTTAAGTGTATAACTGTCTTTCATGCATTTATTCTTCGTTGCAGATGGATTGCAAAGGGTAGCCTTAGATATGGTCGTTGTCATGCCACAATGACTTGCATGGACAATAACCTGTACTTAAGTGGAGGATTGGCTTTTGATGTAAAATCTTCAGTTGCGTTAAGCGTACAGGATGTAGACTTGTACGATGCAAACACAGATTCCTGGATGTTGCGTACCTACTTGGATAAAGCGCGACATAATGTTGCCTCTTTTGCTTCAGGTTGGATATAATGCTTTATAATATTTGAAAAACTTTAATTTGGTATAATATGTGATGACTTATCAAATATCAAGTATTATTTAAAATAAAGCATTTGTTAGTCTTCAGAATACCTAAGAAAGTACTTCGCAGTATATGTCTACATTCACTTTGTTCTTGCTATTTTGTTTTAGGTAACAAATTGTATTTGATTGGTGGGAAATCAACCAATCAACGGGAAAATCTGCGCGATGATATAGAGTGTTGGGACGTACAGAGGAACGCATGGCTGTCTACTTTTAAGCTGCCAACTGAAGTTCAGTGGATGAAGGGCCTTGCCTAATTCTAGAATTTGGAGAAAGTCTAATTTCGTGTTTTAAAGACTAATGATTGTTTAAAGATTTTGTTTTTAATGGATGATTAAGTTTTCTGTTATTATTTGTTTTTATTATTTGTTTACAATTGTTTATTATTGTTTATCGTAAGATGTTTAAAGACTAACGAATGTTGAAAACCTTTGTTTTTAATGTTTGTTTATAATCGTATATGATTATATTAAATATTTTATATATTTGGTGTTTTTGGAACTACATGTTCAACATGGTCTCGTGAATTTTGATCCCGAATATACAGACTTCAGGAGCGGATCTATAAATTTTCATGGGGGGTGTTGAAGAGGTAAAGAGGTGTTATAACGTACGTTTACCTATAGTTAAACAACTTAATATTTTTTTCGGAGAGCTACAATTCTGCAGCAAGGTGATATGTATAGGCCTTAGCTGCTCTGTGTTTCTCCGAAAAACATATATTGATAGACCTGAGAGCTACAGTGAACAAAACAATAATTACTGTTTTCAGACGGTCGAGGTAAATATGACATTTTTAAAACGTGCTAATTTCAGCGAATTTTTTTTTTATTTTAATGAGGGTATTCAAACACATAATACACAAAATACACCATCCTGAAACCAAGCGGCTATGGTTTATGTCGCCCGTGTGGCGCAGTGGTTAGAGTGCCTGCTCTACGATCGCGGAGTAGTGGGACAATTTGAAGCTCTCCACTGCACCGGTAAGTGGCGACGTCTACATATGAGTGAAAAATTCTCGAGAGGGACGTTAAACGGCATACAATCAATCATCCTGTTTTCCTTTTTTAACCTTTCTTTTCATAAAAAAATATCCCCAATACTATAGTTTAGGAGATATTTTTATTATGGAAAGAATGGTTAGAAACGTCAAGCGCCTGTAGTACTGAGATGATGCAGGCACATGAATAATTTCATTGTTTAAGAATTATTTACAGTTTTAGCACACTTGCAATTAATATGGAGAAATATATCATTTACATTTAATTTACCGAAACAACAGAGGGATACATTTATCCCGGGGGTGGGGATCTCGAAATACTAAGTAATTAAAAAAAACCTTTATACATATCACAGGTGATGGAAGACAGCTAGGAACACTCTCCCCCAATATAGACCACTGGGCCTCTTAGACTTTTTTCACATAAATTGTTTGTGGATGACACATTTGTGATATAATAAATTTATCTTATCAATTCAGAAAAATTGCTTAAACTAACATTTTATAAAAATTTCTACCCCACTCTCTCTTTATATATATAGAATGTAGGGTATATTTTATAGAACGTTTGTTTAAGGTAATTTTTCGATTTGTTAATAAATTAATTAAAGATCTTATCACAAACATGCCAATGAAAGATTATTTAGGATAGAAAGAGAAAAAAGCCGAAAAAGCTTAGGGGTCTATATGAAGGGTGAAGGGGGGGGGGGGTTCTTTCAAGCACCTGTGGTACATATATACATGTGACATCCTTTCTTTAATACATTATGATTTTGACCCTGCGACCATGACCTTGAAGTTTGACCTATTTTTCAAAAATGTGATTTCTTTTTTAGAAGAGATAGGGCTTTCATATTTTACGTGTGCTTTACCTGTGTCTGTGACAAACTGATATTTAAATTCCCCCGCATGCTTTGATTTCTGATCCTGTGACCTTCATGTTTGGCCCAATTAAAAAAAACACGCAAAAAACCTTTGGTGATAACAGATTATTCTTGAAAATGATAGGGCGTTCAAATTTGACACAATATGGCATAATTCACAACATTTCACCCACAAAGACACCGAAAGCGGGGTCCCACAATTCTTTTCATTTGGTTGGTTTTTTTTCATGGAAAGTTACAGTTTAAAAACGATTTTTCAACATATGTACATACAAACTCATACGAACTAAATATAAATATTTGACAAAGTTAAAGTTATAAAGTATCAGTAAAAGAATTTATGTATCAAATTTAAGAAATCTGTAGGCACCTTTCACGTTGTGACTTAACTAGATCTTGATCTTGACAGATAGAAAACTTCAAAATATCGCCGATTTCTTACAGAAGCACACCAACATCCCATTTTATTAACCAACGTAAAGATTCTTTGTTTATCATATTTGCCACGAAAGAAATAACTTGTTTGTTTTTAGATATGTTAAATTTTCTTTTCGTTTCGTTTCTTTTTCCATTATGCGTTTTAGTTACACCCATTGTTACGTCATAATACCGTGTCGTTGCAGTTACGTCACAATAAAATCTTCATGGCAGTTTTGTTGTAGTTGCAGCCAAACACTGAAGCTGATCTAGAATTCAAGATATTGCCTTATGCACAATGCTTGAAACCAAAGAAAGTCGCAAGGATAAGACAAATACCATTCGTCTGCCACTGGAATCTTTGAGAAATACAGAATCGGACAGTTTTGTGCCACACAATGAAAATCGTAGATGGCCAAATAATTTGATGCAAGGATCCGTATTCAACCAAGGCATTCATATTCCTCTGATTGGCAGACGCAGTGTAGAAGAGAGGAGCAGCCTACTGGTAGAATCCCAGCTCCGCCCCCCGTTCCTTACCCATGGCGATCTGGTTCCAGTAGAAATGTAGCCCCGAGTCCTTTCCAGCCAGTGGAGAAACCTACTACACATTCAGAGTCGCCCACAGGACTCTTCAAACCTCCGCCTATTGCTCTCTCCGAATGGAACCGACGTTATGGATTTCCAGGGACCCGTGTCCCTGACAAAGAACTGGATGGTTTTATACGCCCTAGCTCTGTGAAGAAAGTAGTGGCTAATATCCGAAAGTCAGACCAATTTTCCAAATCACAAGCTAGATCTCCTGAAGAAATGAATAAAAACCAGAGTGTAAGAGAAACAAATAAAAGTCCTGAAATTCGATACGCCATGTCCACAAATTGCATATATGAAGCAGATTCAACAAAAATGAGGAAGAAGATCTATCCAAACACATCCGACCCCTCCATGTATCGTGTCCTGAGTCCATCATTATTGAAATCTCCAGGAGAAGATTTGGCATCCTTACATTCGTCCAGTGATCACACAATAGTTGGACATCAGAGTATCACAACAGACGATACCTTAACCGAGGAGAGATTGGCTGCGTTGAATGACAGCGGAGACCTGCCATGTTCATCCGGTTCTCACTATGCTCCTCCACAAGTCAGGGGCAGTGTGGCATCTTCTTCCGGTTCTGTTTGTACTGCTCAACTTGTCAGTAACCGACGTTATGGATTTCCAGGGACCCGTGTCCCTGACAAAGAGATCGGAGACTTTATACGCCCTAGCTCAGTGAAGAAAGTAGTGGCTAATATCCGGAATTCAGACCAATTTTCCAAATCACAAGCTAGATCTCCTGAAGAAATGAATAAAAACCAGAGTGTAAGAGAAACAAATAAAAGTCCTGAAATTCGGTACGCCATATCCACAAATTGCATATATGAAGCAGATTCAACAAAAATGAGGAAGATCTTTCCAAACACATCCGACCCCTCCATGTATCATGTCCTGAGTCCATCATTATTGAAATCTCCAGGAGAAGATTTGGCATCCTTACATTCGTCCAGTGATCACACAATAGTTGGACATCAGAGTATCACAACAGACGAGACCTTAACCGAGGAGAGATTGGCTGCGTTGAATGACAGCGGAGACCTGCCATGTTCTTCCGGTTCTCAGTTTGCTCCTCCACAAGTCAGGGGCAGTGTGGCATCTTCTTCCGGTTCTGTTTGTACTGCTCAACTTGTCAGTAGGAGCCCAACTTCAGATGACAGCTTTTACATTGCACCTCAAAGTGACAATTATTATGCTCCTCACCCAAACACAAGTAAGTGCATGAATTGCAATCATGATACTAGTACATTGTACTATAGATGAACATGTATAATTATACTAGTATTTTGTTTTATTTGCATTATTTGACTTATTCATTTTGTTTATTTTTTTATACCATAACTAGCTATCTGTTGACGTTTTTATGCCCTGTAATCGAAGATTCGGAAGATATATAGTTTTTGCCCTGTCCGTCCGTCTCTTTGTCTGCCAAAACTCTAATCTTGTCTATAACATTTGGGGCTATGGGGTTCATAGTTTACAGATGCATTCCTTGCGACAAGACCTTTCTTTGGGTACCACCAAATTTGACCTTTTCATATTGACCTTGGATTTTGACACACTTTTACACAAAAATACCAAACTTTTACTTTGGCCATATCTTTTGAATGGTTAGTGCTAGGACTTACATACTTCACATATGTATTTTTTATGACAAGACCTTTCATTTGATACCAACAACTTTGATCCTTTGACCTTGACGTTTGACCTACTTTTAAAAACTTTGGTCATAACATTTGAATTATAAGGACTAGGGCTTTCATACTTCACATATGTAGCCCTTGTAACAAGACCTTTCATTGGATACCAACAATTTTGATCCCTTGACCTTGGAGTTTGACCTACTGAAAAAAACTTTAACATTGACCATAACTTTTAAATAATTAGAGTTACGACTTACATACTTCACATACCGTATGTATTCTTTATGTTAAGACCTTTCATCGAATACCAACAACTTTGACCCTTTTGACCTTGGAGATTGGCATACTTTAAAATAACTTAAACCTTGGTAATAACTTTTGAATGGCTAGGGCTTTCATACTTCACATATGTAATTCCTGTGACAAGACATTTCATTTAATACCAACAACTTTGACCCCTTGACCTTGGAGTTTGGCCTCCTTTTTAAAATTATAACCTTACGGTAAGGGCTAGGGCTTTTATACTTCACATATGTAATCCCTGTAACAAGACCTTTCATTCATTGAATACCAACAATTTTGACCCTTTGACCTTGGAGTTTGACTTACATTAAAAAAAAACTTGAACCTTAGTCAGTTGGTGCAAAGGCCTTTATATTCCACAATTGTATTTCTTGTGAGAAGACCTTACTTTGGGTACCAGCATATTTGATTTGCATTTGAGAAAGGTTAACCTTCGCTTTGTTGCCATACGGGGGCATCATTGTTTTACAAACACATATTGTTTTCTCTCAAATACATTGTATTTATATTTGATGTCCTTGGTAATGTAAGACTTGTGTTTTTTCTGAAGGGGTGTATACTAGTGACTCTTGGTCAACTAATTCCTACGAGTCGGCAATCAACGAACCTATTAGCACATCTACCAGAAAATCATCTCCGGCCAGTGACGGGAGCACTTCCGTTACATCATCTACAAGTAAATTATTTCCTGTCAGTGATGGGCGTAGTTCCGGTACATCATCTACCCGTAAATCGTCTCCGGGCAGTGATGGGCGCGCTTCGGGTAATTTATCCACCCGATCTTCTCAATACCTTATAAACAATGACGCCATGATGAGAAAAAAATTTCTGCCTCCATTTCCAAACGAATCCCATGGCTATTTCGACAAGATGCAAAATGAAACACTTGATCAAAGGATGCACTTTGCAGAAATTGGTTCTTACTACAAAAAATGTTACGATCATGGCAAGATTTCTGACGTCCGGTTCTGTTTGGATGATGACGTTCTATATGCTCATCGCGGTGCGTTGTGCACTGTGAGTCCTTACTTCGAATCCATTTTCATTGAAAATAGCAGCATCAGATCTAAAGCTATGGCAGACATCCGTCTTAGAGGTTTATCAATACAGTCATTACAATCATTCCTAAATTTCGTTTACACTGGACAATTAGAAATAACCTCATCAACTATTCTGGACTTGATAAAAATCTCTATGCAGTTCCAAATACCACTAATCAGAGAAAGATGCCTCAGACAGTTAAAAACCCTCCCACACGATGATATAGTTATGTTACTGGTGGCGGTGAGGAAGGATACGGTGCATGATTTCATTACACCCATACTACGATGTATTTCTAAGAGGTTTCTGGACATCTCTGAGTGCAAATCGTCCCTGGAACTAGACGTTGGAACCTTATGCGTTATTCTAACTTACGATGAATTGGTTACTTCATCTGAAATGGAAGTTTTCTGTGCCGGCTTAAAGTGGATTAATGCATGTCCAGATGAGCGTGAGCAGTACCTTGAAACAGTTATGAAATGTGTCCGGTTCCCTTTGATGCCTCAACAAGACTTAGTTCAGTGCATAGACAGATGCAGTCTTCTGACATCCAATGAGAATTGCCTTAACATGATATACAAGGCCAACTGGTAAATATTCCTGTCATTTTCTTTCATACAATCTTTAGTTTACCCCATACTTAATATTCATTTGGTGCCCGTACTTTTAGTTTATACCAAACCTTCGATCATATCACTATTTTTTAAAGGATTAGAACTGTGATGGAACTGAATAGACAAGATCCCTTAAACCTGAATATACCAGATGCAAGGTACCTGACTGGGCACGAAAATTCCAACAACAGCACTAACCATTTCAATGTGAGTACCTTTGTTTTTTCATGTACGATTACAAGTAACCAAAGAAAACGATGTAAAAATTTTGACAATACGTTTATTTTTGCTTAAAACAATTCTCTTGTTCCACTGGTTTTCCTTGATTTTAGAATAACGCCACTCCGGTAAACATGTTGGACATCTCATTCGGAAGTATCGAAAGTTTCCATAATGACTCCATGTACACGGAGAGTTTTACCGGAAGTAGGCAATCGTTTGGACAACCCTCTCCAATACAAGGTGAGTCAGTTTTAATCTATCATGGTGTTTTTTTTTTAGCTTTGAGGGTCCCTATGATATATTAAATTAAATCAAACTATTCAATGGGATTTACATGCAAATAAATTGTTTAAATTGACAAGTCTATTTCTTTTTTGGGCATAGATGGGAATTTTGGTAAGAAGCACAACACTAACCAAATACCCAAACCGGACCTGAATGAAAACTCTTCCATGATTGTATTGGACCAGAAGTTATACGTGATAGGTAAATATAAACTAAACAATGTTATACTGCTTCGTATAATCAAGTCATCTGAAGAGTTTTCATAAAACGTGTGTTGTTTTACAGGAGGATTGCGCTATAGTGACGACAATCCACTTCCCCGAAGAGATGTTTGGGTTTACTCTCCGGAGCGTGGCTGGCAGAAACTGACGTCACTGAGAACTGCCCGGATGCACCACGCACTCTGCGTGTTTGATGGTTGCATTTACGCCATCGGTGGTCTTGGGAGAAACGGCAGGTAGATCTTTTCTTACTGTAATATGCATGTTGCTTGTTGTACAATTTAAATATTTGTAAACTTTAAGGTTGTTGTACAATTTAAATATTTGTAAACTTTACGGTTGTTGTACAATGTAAATATTTGTAAACTTTAAGGATCAAACTATAGACTTGTATTTTTCTAGGTCTACAAGCATAATCATATTGTCCTTCAATTCAAATTAACCAAAGTCATTTCCTAATGTCTGATTGTATTGTTGAAATATTCCTAGAATTCTGAAGTCAGTGGAGTGTTATAATCCATCCACAAACAGCTGGCATTTCGTCAAGTCTCTGTCGACACCACGCACTGGAGCTTGTGCCGCAGAGCTGGATGGAGAGATATTTGTTGCTGGGGGTTTTGGGTACTCCCCGAATGGAAATTCTACTATCCTTGATAGTGTTGAATGTTACCACGCATGTACTGACAGGTACGTATGTGGACATGGTCAACTGAACTGTGTGTTTGTAGAACTTAAAACAAATTGTTACAAGCACATGATAACTGTCTTTTATGCATTGATCTTTCGTTGCAGATGGGTTGCAAAGGGTAGCCTTAGATATGGTCGTTGTCATGCCACAATGACTTGCATTGAAAATGGTCTGTACCTAAGTGGAGGGTTGGCTTTTGATCAAAATTCATCAGTTGCGTCAAGTGTACAGGATGTTGACTTGTATGATGCAAACACAGATTCCTGGATGTTGCGTACCTACTTGGATAAAGCGCGTCATAGTGCTGCCTCTTTTGCTTCAGGTAGGATATCTAAGGCTTCATGATTCATGATATTTGAATAACTTTTGTTATAATGTGTTGACTAATCAAATTATAAAAAAAATCAAGTCATTTAAAGTACCTGGTAGAGCATTTCTACTCATAGGAATATCAATATAAGTACCTGGCAGTATATTTTACGTTCACTTAATTTTGCTGTTTTCATTTAGGTAATAAATTGTACTTGATTGGAGGATTATCGACCAATCAACGGGAAAATCTGCACGATGATATAGAGTGTTGGGATGTACAGAGGAATGCATGGCTCTCTACTTTTAAGCTGCCAACTGAAGTTCAGTGGATGAAGAGCCTGGCTTAAATCAGAATTTGGAGCCATTAAATCTTAAGCCTGATCTCGTATTTTAAAGACTAAAGAATGTTTCAAGATTTTGTTTTTAAATGTTTTGGTGATTATTACATATAATTGTTTATCTTTAATATTTTAAGTGTCACAAATGTTTAAAGTCTTTCAATTTCAATTTGAGATATTATTATTTATTTATCTTATCTTTATTAAGATTAATAAATCTTTAAGGTCTATTGTTTTTCTATTAATTTATGTCATTTTTTTTTTTATAATTTTAAAAGTTAAACATTCTTATAGTTTAATTGAAATGGCTCTAGAAGGATTGTCCTAAAAAGTTGTAGACAGGTTAAAAAAAATTAGTTTCTCTACCTTACAGAAATGCCATATCGTAAAAGGCATTAAATAGTCGTGAAAATTAAGTTTGATAAGAAGAACACATATGATGGGGAAAATAATGATAAAGAAAAAAAACGTAATAGTGTTCATCAGCGCACGAAGACAAATATTATAACTTCATATAGCATACTTCATATTATTACTTCATATAGCATAATTCATTTAAAAAAAATGTTCCGACCGACTGATTTAAAATGACCTGCATAAAAAAATCTGTTAACCTCCAATAAACTATATTTTTTTTATTATGCACTCCACTTTAAAGATATCGAAAATAGATGTTGAAATTTTCTGAAAAAGAAATCCCATCTACACTACCTATACGAACCCAATTTTTTTTAAAAAATCCTGGATCGGGGTATGGGAAACGAAAATTATTTTTAAAATGAACTTGAGTCACTTGATCATTTTGTTGCAAAGTACTGATCTTAGTGCGCTACACGTTCCTATGGCATCGCAATGGTTTTTTAAAAAATATATTTTAACAAACCAATCCTAATTCAGCGCAATAATTTACACCTGATTAATGGATGACGTTCATATCTTATTTCATTCCCCCCATTACAACCTAAACTTGACTACCAAAATGTAACTCATTTTCTCGAAAATACGTAATTTCTCTTTCAATTCTATCTGCTAGCGTATGTCCTTCTGTGCAATCGAGTGTCATTTTATTCAGTCAAGTTGGCTTTAGATGGCCGTAGGAACCAAGGGGGGCAGCTCTGCTAATTCTGCCAATATATTATTGATATAGAAAACATAGCCTCTTTATACTTGTGACCCCTCAATATTAACGTATGGTGCCCCCCTCTTTTTTTTTTTTTTGCTTGCTATATAAGGATTTATTTAAGGAATAACTGTCTTATTTTTCGAATTCATGAAGATGATCAATGGATTGGCTTGTGTGATAATTTTATGCATAAACGCCTTCGGCGTTTATGCAAATTATCACACAAGCCAATCCATTGATCACTTCATGAATTCGAAAAATCTGACAGTTATTCCTTATATTTACATGCTTTGATTCCGCCAATCCACGGGCTCCAAGCCTGCTTCTCTCTAGGTGTTGTCCCGCCCTGCACATGGTTTTTTTGGAACCGCGCCAAAACATTCATGAGGAAATCAATTACATTTACAATTGGTAATTTTATCTCGGACAAAGACATTGGAAATGTAAATATTTAATTTTAAAATAAATGGTTGTGCCCCCCTGATTTCCTTCCTTTGAGTCTGCTTTAAATGTGTTAAATATGTGTAAGATCCGTCACGAGCACATTAAAGCATGCAGGTATCAAATTCCTATGCTAATAAAATAAAAATTATTTGAGGAAAAATAATTTATTTAATTGAGAAAGTAAGTAAAAGTTAAAATATAATCTGAGTGCTTACATAGGGAATATAATGATCAAGTTTAAAAGACTAATTAATTTGTTCCTTCAAGTATTCCATTTTCAATGATCAGTATGATAGACATATTTGTTCAGGTCAAGTATCTATCAAATTCTTCTAGTTTACAACTGATATATAAATATCTGAAGGACAAGACTCTTCACCTTTTTTCAATGATTTCTAATTATAGAGAGGAAAGAAAACTGTCGAGGAAAATGAAATTGCAAATTCAGAGAAAAACGAAGAAAGAAAACCAGAAGTCACTTAAGTTTTTCTTTACTTTAGCATATATATTTTGCAAACAGAAACCATGGATCATGCTAGAAATTGAGCTCGTATTTGAATTGCAGGCTTTGAAGTCTTTTTTTTTCCAATGTAAATTTACAATTTAAATTCTCGAATTTTTCAGTGTCAAGGATTTGGCACTTCAAGTCTTTAACCCGATGTCGTCCAAATAATATTTTTTACATACTTGACATGCTCATAAACAGATTTATCAATATATTTTCTTTCTAGTAACGCAATAACAACAGTTCATACTTTTAGACACCTTTTACAGATTTTTAGATTAAAATTGTATGCAATCTCTATCATGTAGTATTTACACCTCCCATATACCCAAAATATCAAATGAATTATTCACAATGTCAAAGTTTTGAGATTAGGTACAACTAAACAACAACAATAGCTAAACAAAAACACAAAACACTCAAACCATTGAACGATGCTTATTTTTTCTGCAAAATGGAAAGAAAAAAGTTATCTCAAGTTAGAGGTTGTTTTATTAAAGCATCGCATAACAAAATGAAAAGGCAAGATATCACAACACCTTGACATTGCGAAGATTATCAAATGGTGTATTTAAGATGAAATAAAAAATCATTGTAATTAAATTGTAATATGATATGTTTTAAGTAGACGTGATTCTAGACTTGTACAAAGATGTTTATTTCTCTAATCGTGTAACAAAATTTTTTTTCTTTGAAAATGGGTCAATTTTGTGACTGATATACATGTATTTTTAACAGTCGGACATAGGTTCATCAAATAACGTTACCCTTAATTCTCGAAGAAGAAAAAGATTAAATTTTTCAAATAGCTGCCTCCCCGTTCAAAATCATGTTGTGCCCTCCAAATATTTAAAACTTTTAATCAGTGTACAATATTCAAAAAAGTAAGCAAAGGAAACTCATAGTTTTCAGTATTTTCATTAAAAACCAGCAGATCGTAATATACGAAGATTGCAATTTTAACATGTGAAAACAACCTTAAATAGCACTGTTATTAACAAAATAACCAGTTTTAAAAATATATGCATCGTGTTAAAAGCGAACTAACGTGATCAATAACATTTGAAAATGTATGTCAAGTACCCTTCAAGTTCTTAAAGTTTAAAACAGCCAGGATCCAATTCCGCAGCCAGGAAGTCTTATATAAAATCTTCACTGACAATAATTTCTCATTCAAGTGGAGAGCGTCTAAGACATCTAAAATTTACAATTCAAAGAAAAACATTGAAAATCTTTAATTTTGTGAAAGAATCCTATTCACCTCCTACGAAAGTCTTCTTATTCTGTGGTATATTTTTATGCAGTTATAATTAGAATTATCTATACCTCTTGATGCAATGTAAAATTGAAATCTACTGTGTATTACTTGATTTGGAATAATTTTTTAAAGGAATACTTAACGTTTTAAGATAAGATATATGTGATATTTGTTCATCTTTTTCCTTCAGGAAAAGTCTTGGAATTGTATATTAAAAAAAGAGATAAGCATAATATTTACATCTTTATGTAATATACATGTACTTCTCTCAATGTAAAAAAAGCCCAATTATACAGAAAATCCTTAAAAACAAGGAAGCCATAAAAAAAATTCAAAGATAAATTTATTTCAATGGTAAATAAGATAGTTTTAAGGGATGAAGGCATGGTGAACAGGGTGAAGGTCACGAATACTGACCAATCTAAAATAAAAATCTAAAAATAAATCAAAACTGTGAACAGGGCATGAACACGGACCTTAAGGTAATTCTAAAGGTGGGATTAAGTGCCTAGGAGGAGTAGACATTCCCTGTTGACCAGTCACACCCGCCGTGAGCCCTATGTTTTGATCAGTAGACGGAACATTCCTTATTCAAATTCAGTATAAAAACAAAGGCATAACAATTGGCATGAAACAAGTCATTTAGATAGATTATATATTTTCTAACAAGGTTATCATAATAAAAAACCAATTTTTTTTTTAATCCTGTAACATCACTTTATCTGTCAGTAGCCTGCCTCGGTACAGTGTATAAAAAAGTAAAAAGTTATCGTACTCAGAACATGCTCTTGAGTATCGAATATTGAGAAAAGTTGACGACGGAAAATTAAGATTATCTCGTTTGTCATAAAGTAAAGCTGTAAATTTGCCCTTACAATTTATCTTCTCAGTAAAACATTCACATTGAAACAGACGTGGCGGACTCTATCATGGTGTCTTTGCATTCATGTGCAGTGGGATATATTGAATCGACATACGAACGAAAGTAATAGTAGTCTTTTTGTCGATTCAAAAGCCACATTTTTAGCTCTACTGGTCAGAGACCAGAAGAGCTTATGCGATAGTAATGCGTCCGTCGTCCGTCCGTCTGTCTGTCTGTCTGTTTGTAAACAATTTTTCAAAATGCTACTCCTCCTACAGTTTTGGTCTGATTTCAATATAACTTGGCATACAAGTAGACTAAACTAAGATACATAATTCTGTGTATCGGTTTTTGATTTCGATGAACGGTGTTGCCGTGGTTACTAAAAATAGAAATTTCTGTGAAATTCTTTCAAAATGCTACTCCTCCTACAGTTTTGGTCTGATTTCAATATACCTTGACACACAAGTAGACTACACTAAGATACATAATTCTGTGTATCGGTTTTTGATTTTGATGAACGGTGTTGCCGTTGTTACTAAAAATAGAAATTTCTGTGAAATTCTTTCAAAATGCAACTCCTCCTACAGTTTTGGTCTGATTTCAATATAACTTGGCATACCAGTAGACTTCAATAAGATACATAATTCTATGTATTGGTTTTTGATTTCGATGAACGGTGTTGCCGTGGTTACTAAAAATAGAAATTTCTGTGAAATTCTTTCAAAATGCTACTCCTCCTACAGTTTTGGTCTGATTATATAACTTGACACACAAGTAGACTACACTAAGATACATGATTCTTTTTATCGGTTTTTGATTTCGATGAGCTGTATTGCCGTTGTTACTAAAAATAGAAATTTCTGTGAAATTCTTTCAAACTGCTACTCCTCCTACAGTTTTGGTCTGATTTCAGTATAACCTGGCACACAAGTAGACTACACTCAGATACGTAATTCTATATATCAGTTTTTGATTTCGATGAACGCTGTTGCCGTGGTTACTAAAAGTAGAAATTTCTGTTAAATACTC